ATGGTTTTCGCAGCGCCGTAGCTAGCTCCAGCTATTTATAAGCAAATGAGGGTGACAGATCCCGTGTCCCATGGCTTACAATTTTATAAAACATATGTGGGACCACAAGCAAACCTTCTTTAAAAAATCTGATTAACTAAAGCTAATGGGAAATGTAATTCCACCTTCCTACAGACAGAAGAGTAACCGGTACTCTTCAACTACGTGCTCGTAGCATTCATTGCTTGTTTGCTTCTAACACAATCCCCCTTCATTCAGTCTCCAGGCTGGAGGCACAGAGAGGTAGAATTTAAATTCTTCTGGCCATTTATATACATGTGGCATTTCTTGACCTTTAAGTATTTGATTTTGAAACCTATTTAACTTTTTGACGTAGGTGTTTTCGTGGGTTTTGTTGGGGAATGCCAAAAATTTTCTGCATGTATGGGAGGGAAAAAAAAAATCAATAAGAGCAACTGTATGACTGTTCTGTCTTTAACTGAAAGGCCCTCCCTCTGTGTCTGTAACACCAGTCAAAGTTTCTTAGTAGCACAAGCTTCTTATTCAGCTTTGTTTTGACAAAGAAAGATAAACCACTGTTTTGCTTTGCCCTTCCCCCACCATTTACTCATTAGTTTTATTTAGTTTGGTAATCTCTGCTCCTTGTAGGGAATCAAAAAATTAATTATTTTCAACTATATTAAGTTGTTATGTATGTTCTTATGAAGAATTTAAAATAGAATGTAATTATAAGTCACTGCTAAAATCAGCTTGTCCTGCAAAGACAAGGACATTTAATTGTGTCCTTGTATGACTGGAATTACTGTAAACAACTAATATTCCTATTTGCAGGAACAGAAATAACTAGCTCATTGAGCTGTACAGAAAGGAAGACATAAAAGGAAACCAAAGGCTAAACCAGAATAAGCCACTGGAAAGTTTTATGTCAACAAAACTGGATTTAAATTAAGTAACATCAATTCAGTATTTTGACTGCAAATGAATCAGAACATTAAAACATGTTTTAAAGGGAACATTTGTGATGAAACATCTACGACTAGTTCCTACAGCAAATGAATAGAAAGTCCTCACTTATTTCTTCTGAGTAGGATCAAACCCACCCAGCAGTTACTTCTCTAGCTTTAGCACTACTTTGTAGACCTAAATTTTGAAAATGAGAATAGCAGCAGAACTGCATGGAGAACACTGAATAAATGACTTATCAGTTACACACAATGGAAAATACAGCACTGATGACATAATTAGAGGTTGCATCATACCACACATGTGTGGAGCAAAATTAAGATTACACAGACAATTTCCATTCTTAATATTTTCTAATTTTCTAAGTGCTTGACTTTGCAAATTAAATCTCTTTTATGATTGTTTCTTCTGACACTGCTCTGCAGAAATGTGAGTAGATTTTAACATTCGTTACTTTGCCTTACTCAGCGGCAAAAAGCTTTAAAGAAAACAGAAACCAACAAAAATAACCAAGCTCCAACCAAAGAAGTGCATTTCTAAACTATCTGAAATGATGGGAGATGAGTCAAGAGCCACCTTGCTTTAAAATTAACGGAAACTCAGCAGAGGTATTCTCCAGTGACAAGAAATAAGGAAATAAACCACACATTGAATAACTACAACACATCCTTTCCAAGTAAGAACAAAGAATTCATTTACCCAGTAATTTTACAATGGTGGTAAATCAAAATTGTGGGCAGTCGTCGGAGAACCAAGAAGATACACAATCCATAGCAAGGATCAGACAAATTAAAGGGAACTTTTCACATTGTCAAATTTTGAGTAATTAGTACCTCCATTAGAAGCACAGTCCCAGCTTTAAGCAATTCTACATAATTAATGTTCCTTTATTTTGCCTAGAAGATCTGACTTCAGCATTCTCTTAGGATACGAATTCTTCCAGCCAGAGCTGCACAATACAGATTAACTCAACTAGAAGACAATTAGGGCAGGCAGATGAAGATGTAATTTGTCAGTCTGTACACACTGCTACTGCCAGCCTCGGATGCAATTTTTATTAACACAGTAGGACTGATTCAAATGGAGGCAGAGACACGATTTTGTCCTATCTGTATCCACATGACGGCCTAAGCTGCAAGTGATGCTGAGATTTGAAAATTCCATGTGACCAAATGACAAAACACAGTGAATGAAGTGCCAGATTGTATCTTCCTGTACAGCTCTGACCAGCTACAAGAATTCAGTAACTGATTACACACTTAATAATTTAAAAGACATCTTTTAAAATACACAAAGGAGGAAATCTTTCTATACTTACCCATCATGAAATATAAATCCTTAGATTAAAACGCCAGGAGGAGCAGGAAACAGCAGCTGGCCTGGTGGCTAGCACATGGAAAAGAGAATTTGATTGCCAGAGATCATATTGCCTTTGCACACTGTGCTGGGTAAGCTCTCTGGATCCTCACAATCTTGTCTTTAAAATGGGCCTAGCAGTACTTGTCTCTCAAAAAATGTATTTTTTTTTGCATTTCGTGGGTGATTTGAAGATGCTTTGTTTGCCAACCAGCTGAAGATTCTTTAAGAAAAGGGACAAACTAAAAAAGCGAAATGCAATTAAGTGCCCTTTCCTATTTGCACTACAACTTCAAGACAACACTGAAAATATTTCATATTGAGCCTTGAAACTTAGGACATATCCAGTCACAATGGAAGGCAGACGTTTACAAGCCTTTTACCCAATTTTGAGACACCACAGACCACTGAAGGGTACCACACACACAGAGACACGTGGCAGAAAATATACTTTGCTCTCTCTACAGACACAATCATAGTGACAATTACCTTAGTTTTTAGCTTCTAAATTTTCAATAACTGCAAGAATCAGAAGCCAAAGACTTCCCACAGTAATAAGTGGCACTGAAGGAAAAGCTGGAACTGCAGCTGAGGAAGAGGAGAGCAGAGTAGGACCTTACTCACAGAGGTCTATTCCTCCACTGCTGAGAGGCTCTAACTGTTCTTTTACAAATGCTTTTGTTCCCATGGACTCCAGATTGGCAGGCCTTTGGTGCTTTTTATATTTATTGATATAAAAAGAAATATGACATTCTTGATCTACAAAGCCCCTCTTCCCACAGATCCGTCAATATTTATACATGGTCAGAACCAAAGTCCAAAACCGGCAAATCTTGCCAAATCTATCAAAATTACAAAAGGTTCATGACTTTTTGACTGGATCTTACCATCACAATCTTCTTTACAAATCTCTTCCAAAATATGGTTGCAACATGCTTGTGCTTCTAAGCTACAAGGTATATTACGTGCACAATGAGGACCCATGTTTCTGTGTGACAGAAAAATCAAAAGCGGCGATTTTCAAATATCCTAAGAGAGAACACAAATTCTTCTCCAACACCTAAAATGCAATCATGAAGGTGCAAAACGACTCTTTGAAAACCTCATCCCTGAGAAATCCCAGTTTTTCCTGATGGAAAAAAATAAAAGCATCGGCTTCTGCCTGCAGTGACAGTAGTTTTCCCAGCTGCACAATCTCAGACATAACCAGATTTACGAGCTCACTAAATGTCAGTATCACTTCTTTTTATTACAGAACCTTTTCACTGATTTTTACACTGGAACATCAGTTTTATATAAGCTTTGGGGCTCAGCAAGGCTTGGACACTGCATCCCTCCTGTGCAGCCCCCATCCAGCCCCAGGAACGGGAGGAGCGCCCGAGCTGCTGACGAAGCACCGGCAGCTCATCTGCCGCCGAGTTCTGCTCACCCTGGCGTTAAACCCCTTCATAGCTATCGTGTTAGGGCAGGACATGCCGGTCTCCAGTCTCCTTTTGGCTGAAAACATCATCTTCGAGAAGCCAGAACGCAGAAGTTATTTGTTACTAGCAATATATTTTATACTTTTAAAGATTTGTAGTAATCCCTGACTGTGAAGGCTGTCAAATCCACTCAGAGGCTCCTTATTGAAAAATAAGGCCTGCATATCCAGAGATTCTCCCCTCCACCACCCATCCAAATTAAAGACGTAATTCCCAAAGACAGCCACTCTTCTAAAACACTACACATTTCATATAGCTGTTATTAATAAAGTATGAACAACGTTTGCAGAAACATTAAAGAATCAGGTCAAGAACGCTGTCTGGATACAAGTGTCATTAAATAGGCCAATCATCCAACTTTTGAGTAATTAATGTCCTTGGATTTTACTTGAAAGCCTCATTTTCAGCCTGTTCATAGGAGACAAATGTCCCACGTCAAAGTGAGTGAACTCTTTTGGATGCCAATCACAAGAGGAACATGAAAATGCAATATTGGCAGGCTAGAAACAAAATGATGCAGCACAGCAGTTCTCATCGTAGGGTCAGACGATTTCACTACATACAGTCAGAGGATTTGGCCCGTTCCTATCTGTGCCTCATCTGAATATCTAAACAACCGCCACAACGCATTTCAAAACTCTAAAATATAAAAGGAAAACTAACAAAGCTGATGGTATCTCCAGATCACCGTGTGAAGTACTAATAAGCAACTGTGTTATACAACCCCTGTTCAACAGACTGAAAATGATCCTTCCCAAATCCAAATGACATACTTCTAAAGCTGAAAGTGATAGATCACAGCTGGCTGAGCAAGCACTGAACTGTACACTCATTTTAAAAGCTGCCATTGTAAAAGACCCTCCAGGCTTTCTGTTGGTTCCTTTGCTCTTCTTATTAGGAACTGCAAAGCTCCTCTTATTTAACAGTTAATTACAGGAGGAGGTGGAGAAAAATTAACAAGAGAGAGTTTATTTTTCTAAAGATATGCAGCATGTCTACGGACCAAATATGCTATTTTTATTTCATCACTGCAAAACATGACAAATATTTGCAATTGGAAAAAAAATATGAGTACAAAATCCGAACATTTGGTATTAGGATTCTTATTAGAAAATCTGCCTTTACAACTAATTTACAGTCTCTGCATACAAGATTGCACCCTTCTTTCCACCAGACAGCTGTTAAGACACAAAAGTACTCTCAGGACAGCAGCTGCAGAACTTGACGTATGCGCTCACACTTCTCCAACAGGTTTGGGTCTTCTGCATTGGAACCATCAAATTCCTTCATAAAAGCTTCGGCTTTCTGCACAGTTAGGTCTCGCGCACCTCCTTGAAGCCCTTGCAGATAATCCAGTAAAATGGTGAAATACTTGTCTGGAACCTTTTAAGAAGAAAACAAGCAAGGAAAAATACCTGCTTTATTCCCTTCTCTCTCAATACTCATTCACAACCACATCACAATACTCATTCACAGCCATGGCAAACCATCACCTGGGAGATAACGAGGAGAACCGCGTGGGCTTTTGCACCTGGCAATGCCCACCTCTGAGCAGAAGCATTTCTTGCCGAGGCTCAAGCTGCCGGGAGGGATGGGCCATGGTGAGAGGACTGTCATGTGCTCAGATGGGCAAAGCATCTGTGAGGAAATTCTAAGCAGATGTGGAAATGCTGATCAGCAGATGCAGACACTCCCTGACAGCGAGCTCAAGGCTGTGAGGGTTGTTGGAAGAAAAAAACCACGCTAGCCAAATCCTACTTTTGGAAACACGTATGAAAGCCTCAATAAATCCAGTAAGAACTGCATGCATATATCTGAGGAAAGCATTTTGGTGGAGTTACCCTCGCCCTTACCCAAAACTATTTGTTTGCTGAGATGAGATACCACCCACCATCAGGCACTTTGATAGAATGCTTATACAAAGGAAGAGAACTTCATTTGGAAAACAAATAGAATTCAGACATATGGAAATAATTTTTAAATCACGCTGACTAAAACTGATAGGCTCTGCTAACACGTCTAACATTAAAAGCAGTTTAGTCATCCACAGTTGCATTACCCCCATTTCACTCCCTTTCTAATTAACTAGTCATAAGCTAAAATTTAACTATCTGGTACAACATACAATTTAAATTATCATTATGTTAAACAATCTTGGCAATAACTTAGCAAAGACTTCTGAATCATTTATTCAGTATTCCAAACCAATGCATTTCTAAAAGCATTAGGTGAACAGATCTACGCTGAAGCATATCTTAACTTCATGTCGCGTATCTGCGGAATCGGTTTCAGCCAATAAGAGCACGTTTTTGTCATGAATCGGGAGATGTTAAAATGACCTAATCTTGCAAATATTTTTCTACTTTACACATATAACTTTAAAAGGCACAGTCGACGTGAGTCAAGTTAAACACATACGTAAGTATTTAAAGGATTGGAGACTAATTATTTGAGGGCTGTTTCAATTCTGCCAAGTATCAACATTTCAGAGAAGACAGAGCTTCAACAGATACTTAATTTACAACTTATTTCTCCATTGACATTTGGCATCATAACTTTGATCACTAAAATTTCTATTACTCCAAAAGGAAAGGAAGAAAGAATATTCTGACACTGCCTTCACCAATCAGGGATATTACAAAGTAATAAATCAAAACTGAAGTCTGCATTCAGCCTCATAACTTACACACTATGGAAAACCTTCTTATTTTTCACACAAACACTCCTGAGTTAAAGAAACATTGCTGATACAAAAAAAATATTAATTGTACAGCGACCAACACTGAAATGGGTGATTTATGAAGTGTTGCTACAATATACGAATCAAACACACTGAAATATAATGAAAAATGTTCATATTTTTGAAACCTTTTTACTCCCAATAAACTGGTACTAATAACAGATAAAAACATTCAGACATAAACAATTTCAGAATGATAGAGCTCCTTTAATGCAGATGCTCAGTACTAAGCTTTTACATAATTTACATGTCTTGTTCTCTGACTCCGCGGTATAGTGATATCTCACTCTGTGGAATTACAGTTGTTATTATTGTATCATTTAGGCAAAGTGTTGGACAGGGCAATTAAAAACCCACTCTAAACTCAGAAATACTAAGTGCGCAGACAGACATGTGGCTGCCTGAAGCCTAGAAAACAATTTAGCATTTGGCCTTAAGGGTAAGTGCTGAAGTGTTCAAAAAGTCTGATTATTTTCTTAACACAACTATCAGGTTTATTTCAGCAAGAGCTTACAAGATAATGTCATATTTCCTCCTAACTTACATATACAATAGAGCCACAGTAAGGACTGGAACACAGAAAGCGCCAGCAAAAAAGTTAAGGAAATGCAAATTTTAATTCTTCAAATACAGTAGTACAAAAGCTGAAAAGTCAGGGACTCTTGGTGAGCTTTCAGAAGAAGGAACCCAATCCTTCTCCTAAGATCCGCCTTTGGGCTGGCTTGAAAGGGGATATCAAGATCTCCCACCACGGCTCTGGCAAGTGGAAGTGATGCTTATGAGATGCTATTGTTATTCTTTTGTTAAACCGTTTTGAACTTTTTTCTTGCTTCTTTTTCTCTCTCACACACTAACCGTGTCTCTGCCCTAACCAGCTGATACGCACTGGAGCTAATACAGAAATATCCCAAAGTGAAACAATTACTGGCATCAGGAAAAGGGGGGAAACACTACGCAGCAGGAGCCAGAAAAGACCAGTTCTCACTGTCAGATTATACTGTGTAACTCCGGAGTTTTCAGACTTCTAGACATGCCCATGTATTTTGCAAAGCAAATACAGCTCTCTGCACCGAGAACTCCAGCTTACTGCCACCAAGCCTGCTTTTCTCAGTTACCTTCTGAGCACGCTTCAGAAACCCCTCCAGGGCTTGGCGCTCCCGGAGCTGCAGACAGTCGATTGCGTTACCTTCCAAAAACGCTGCGTCAGGTCACAAGGACCAACAAATGAGCTAAATGAGTGTTTACCTTACGTTGGACCCTGCAGAAGCAGGCACGCTGGGGGTACACGGGCTCGCTTTGGCAGCTGGCGGCCAACCACCAGATGGCTTTTAAAGGGACTTAAAAATCCCCTTGTGTTGCAAAAACCTCAACTTATTCCTCAGGGAAAGGGGCCTGTGAGTAGAGGAAATCCAGCTGACTCCTTTGCATGGCTTTTCAGTTGGCATCCCAGTGACACCAGGAGATCAAAGATGTGGCTTAGGAAGGAAAGAAACTCATGTCTCCTTTTGTGTTTCAGTCATGCTTGGATATCCAACAGATTTTATTCTGTCATAGAAAGGAAGTTGAATTTGGGTATTTAAAAAATATTCAAAAGAAGCTGCTCTGCCCTCCCCAGAGTCCTGATGAAGAAAGAGACTTCCTCATACGCTTAATTATAAGCACTTGAACAGTTCTACTGATGTCACTGAATCTGGATGCAGATGTTACTCATTACTTAGAGCTCATATTCAATGCATCTCTGAAAAATAAACTACAAAATATATGAATTTAAAGAAATCAGAGCACTTTCATCAGATTTTTTTTTAAAAAGGAAGTTTAATTTCAGTGTTGAGGAGTAAGGAGTTAAGCTGTGTTTTGACACATAAACCAAATGCTACTTACAGTTAATTATTTCCCAGTATATTTCAACACAACCCCAAAGTAAACAGGTAAAAAAGGAAAAACATGGTTCTGTCTGTGAAACAATTTCTAGGTAGGTTTAAAGAGCACACGTTGATTTTGAAAGGTTGATAAAGACCTTTAAAGGAGAAACTTTCAAACAACGTAGATACTTACAGTCAGATTTGTATTCTGCAATTAATCTTCTTAAAATATTAGGCTGTGTGAACATCTTTGCCTTTGTGAAACTCTGCTTTTAATTATTTGGCTCTCTTAAAGCATTTTTAATCATAAAGGTAACACCCTACATCAGGAGCTGGGCTTAAGAGCTGCTGAGTAATTTGGGTCAGGAAGATTGGTATGCTTAAATGCTGAAGTGCACACAAAAAATCAGCAAAAAACTAGCGGAATGTCACCTAAATGAATCAGTAAGTAAGGCACCGTGCAAACAGCGACATGTTTGCTCTATTACACAACAGAACAAATGACCTGAAACCCCCATTCAACACCATGATGGTCAGACACTTACTGGAAAACCAGTCTATGTTGTTTTTTAAATTATAAAATGAATGGATTTCAGTAATGAAGCAAGCTTAGCTTCGGGTTATACTTTACATTTCTTACAATCAACATCAGGTTTCACTTAGATTTTAATGAGAAAGCTATTTTAACATCTTGGCAATACGGAGCCAGAGATATCTGAAGCAATATGAGAATTGTTGTTTACAGTACTGGGTTCCACATTCAGAAATTCAAATTAAGGATATGACTCAAATTCTCAGTAAGCTCTAGATTTATATAAAACATGAATCTTCTCTATTTATACTTGATATATATCAAGTATAAAAATCCAGTACATACAGGAGAGTGATCACCAACAAAACAAAAAGATTAATTACAAGCAACTAAAACATCACAAGATTTCAGTTTAAAAAAAAAGTAATTAATTTATAAATCATTAAAAAAATATTAGAAAAGTGCATGGCTAGTCGTAGCAACTTTTGGTTAATACAGAACAGCTACAGGTAACGTATAAAACTTTATATCATAATTGTTTCGAGAAAAAGCAGTGTTAATACAAACCTTCTCTTTATCATACATGTGCAAGAGAAGCCAGGTCTGTCTTGTCTTTTGAAACTTCCACTTTTCTGGGTTTTCAGACCAGCTGTAGTAAATTAAAAAAAAAAAAAAAGATTCAATGCAATACTGTGTATTCAAAATATTCATTATCCATAAAATACTTCCTACAATGACTCCAAGTGACCTTGTACGCACAACGTGGAGTTTCGTGACGCTCTGTGACGGGGACACTGGCCCGCACTTTGACAGGACGGCTACCTGGCTTCCCTGTAAAATACTGAAACGATGACAGGAACGTGTCATGGCCAACAATATTATACGTTTTCATCAGGAAGCACCGATCTCTTGAAGCTGAAAATCAAGTCCCATTCCTCAGCTTTGACCAATATTTTAGGAGAGGTATCTGGGGAAGGTAGAGTGGACACGGAATCAAAGCTGTGTTTCAGAAAGTTAATTTTTCACAGAAAACTGAAATTCAAATGAAATGAAGCAGCCTCTAAAGGAGGAGAGACTCCTGCTGCTGCTGTCACCTCTGCAACGGCTGAAGCCCATCGCAGACTGTTCTGGGGCAGAGAAAATTCACTTTTAAGGAGCATATGTTCTAAGGCTTGGATTTGTCTAAAGGTGTGACTTAAATACTCAGGTTTACAAGATAGAGAAATGCTTTTTATTTCTCGCTCTCCCCAGGAATACCGATTCCAGTATTTAGTTCAAAACTTCAGGCTGCTTTGATATTGTTAAAAGCAAGCAGGTAAAACAAAACTAGTAACATCTGCAAATGTTCTTTTGACTGTTTATCAAACACATTTTAAATATGCAAAATCTTGGCTGAGTTAAAATGGTCCGTTTATGTACATCTTGAATATGATTTTAAAGCTGGTATATTCTGTTTTAGATGAAGAAAGAGACATTTATTTCTATAAACAAAGAAGCAAGCTAGCAAATCTCAATATAACATGAAGACTGATTTTTGAAAGTACATGCTTGAAAATTAGCGTTTTAATATGTATAAAAGTTGTCCGTACGCTGAGATATCAGTTAAAGATCCAAAAGAAAATATATGAGGAGAAAAAACCAGAAGATTTTACTCTTTATTTTATTTTTCTCTAAAGACAAACAAGCCTCCAGAGGGTAGCGTGCAAGATGTCTTTAATGTTCCAGCTTGTTTTACACAGCAACAGAGAGCACAGAAATCAATTGAAAAGCCAGCTGGGTATGAGAATTAGTATTGTTTAAACACTGTCAAGTCTAATAAAGCAAAAGAGTTCTCATATTTGGTGAATGCTGCACCAGCAAATACATTGTTCAGTCAATTCAATGAAAGAGAAAAAACCAAGACCACAAATTTGTACAGAAGGGTTTCACGGAAGTCTCTGCAGAAAACTGAAAGGAAAATAAAATACTGTCTTGACTTTTAAATTCAGGATAGAGAAAAAAGCAACAACAACCCATTAGGGTTATCACTAGCTAAAATCAATAAAAATGCCTATAGGCAATATATAAGGTCAAAATCAAACAAGAGTAAAGCAGGAAGGACAGACAAAACTAATAACCACAATATATCACATTTTACATGCTCAAATTAAATCCACAAATGAAATGTCTTAGAGGTCTCTTTTGGGACATTGTCAAAAGATAAGCAAAAGTTGGCCAAACAAATATTGCATGGGTGCAGGAGCCCAAAAGCTGACTGCCACAAGTTACAGAATCAAATTGAAAAAAACACCCGACTTATTATGGGGAAACCAGCCTTCTCCTATCAGCATCAACCTAGAAACCAAAGAACTTGCCAAATAAAGACCGTTCAACTCTTGGTATCACTTGCTTTCTCAGCAAAGTGCCCAATCGGACAGCTATGGGCAATGTCAGAATTACGCCAGCTCTAACGCAAGGAGCTGACAGGGATGAAGTTTGTGGGACAAGCTCCTTGCTCCCTTGTACCCAATTCCTCTGCCTGGCAGGCAGCTGTCGTAGCTCTGAACTGAGAAACTGGAACTTGTGCAGGAAGCGACTTAACTTCTAGAAGTCCGTAAAGAAAAAAAGGACAATGATGGTGTCTGATGTTAAAAGAAACCTGTTCTCTTATGAGGTTCACCCTTCCGAACAATTACATGGCGGATGTTGTAAGAAATCCTGTCCACTGGCACAGCACGAAGAAGGTGGTAAGTTTAAAATTCTTTTTCACGTTAACTAAGCCTGGAAACAGTTTACATTATAACCTCTCCAAGGTGACAAGAACAAGATGAATGACAGGTCTGTGACTGCGTCCTGTGAAAACAGCCCCTCTTCTAATGAAAACCTTTACCACATTTTTAGTTTTTTAAACTGCACTTTGTATTTATACATTTGCAATTACATTCATCGGTTAGACACACCATGCAGTACTCTGAATATTTTATTCTCTGCTAATTTTGTTTCCATCACCTGAGTACCATTAGGCATTAACTTGAAAAATACAGCCTGATTTCACTAATTTCCTATAAAGCTGTAGGATGTTAAGTATCTTTACTACCTAGTTTATAAACAACTGAGACCAACAAATGAGTGCACTCTAAGGTTAATTGCTCTTATTAGCCTGTTACCAAAACCATATGCTCTCTTCCACATGTTAAGGCAAACCATTATACTCCTGCACCTAAGATACCACACTGATTTTCACTCTAGTGAATTCTCTTGTAGAAACAAACACCTCAGTCAGTCTTCCTGAAAGGTTTCACTCTATACACCCATGATAATTCACATAAACAACAAATACTTTAACATTATCAACTGCACGATGTTTGTGCCCATTGTGGCATCGCAGCCTCACAAACCGCTTCTTTTTGGTTTGCTCTGACCTACGAGAACCAACTTCTAAAAGAGTATGGTAAAAAAAAAGTACAATTTTCCTTAACAGACTACGAGTGTAATCATTTTTTCAGAAAATGCTCCCAAGTTTTTAACTGGTACTCTGTCCATGGTTGCACCGATTCCTGTTTCTCCTCCTTCAGGAAAATGCTGCTTCTCTTGACCTTAACTCTCATCAACTCTGGGCAAAACGCTCACGATAACGAGTGCACAATCTGCAAGACAGATAACGTGGCAGTTGCTCTCTGTAATTGGACCCCCAACAGTTATTAAAAGTTTTCCACTGATTGCTATGACTATGACAGCTTTCTTCCTACTCCTACAACAGCCTTAAAACCTACAGAAAGTATCACTCTGTGACAAAGTGAGAGGAATATCTCCTTTTATCAGAATGACTTAATTAGTGCATTTTTAGAAATGCTCCACTTTCAAACTCTAAAAGTTAAAGCTTTGTAACACAAAAGAGGACTCATTTGGCTGTTTAGATGCAGATAAACTTCCTTGACATACTACAGTGGTACAAAAGGCTTTTCCTTTGAGTAATTAAATATACAGAGTAAGACTGACTACATTATAGTTTAAAAAAACCACTTTTCATAATCACAACCTCTTTCACAGTTTGAATTAATGTGCTAGCCTTTAGAAGTATCTGTGTCCAGATCTAACATAAACTGTGGAATTGGATTAAAAATATACATGTGTAAAACAAGTATTTTTCCAGTATTACTCAGGCTAATTTTCAATATATTGTACAAACACTAATTGCCTTCCTCACACAGTTAATGTTTGAATCTTACTTATGAGCTCCAGCTCACTGAAAAAACACATTGGTTGACTTTAGTTAAAGAGAACTTTTATGTTTGTGCAAATGATCTTTCTAAATGGCTTTGAAATTGAAGATACAGAGGAAATGAATCAAATAAATCAAAGCAGCTTAGGGAATTTTACATTCAGGCTTTTGGTTTTTAGCATGAGAGTCTCATGTAGAAAATCTACACAAGATTCTCACCGGTTTGTCTCATACACAACTTTTAGTCTCAACATTAATCTCAAACAAATCTGTTCCCAACACATGGGAATAAGGAGGCAAACAGAAGACAACGGGTAGCGTGCATGGCAGAGCACACTCTGGGATGTCCTCGTAAAAAAAAAAAGAGGGGGAAAGGAAAGTAGTCAAATTGGTTCCAGAAACACAGTAAGAGAAAAACATTATTGTTACAAATTGGATTCAGGAAGACAACACAATGCATCTGCTTAGACTGTTGGCCAGGACAAAACGCTACAAAACCATCACAACCATTAAATAATCTCCTACGTGGAGAGGAGCACTGTGCTGAGAACCAACCGTTTCACACATCCAACTTGAAAAGACGGCTAGGTAGGAGACAAGTCTCGAGAAACCAGGCAGACAGACAGACAGACAGACATGCGGCTGCTGATAACCTTCCAGAAGACACAAGAGCACCGCTGCATTCCCAGTGCAAGGACACCCAGACCCATCTACATCTACTGCTCCAATTTTGTGCCACTGATGGTCCAGCCCCTCTCAGATACACCTTGCAGCCCAGATATCTATCCAAGGTAAAGCAGACTGCCACCAAATTTAGATTTTTCCTGCATACAGCCCAGGCTTAGCATCAGGGAGTTAATTTGAGGGGTTTCTCCAGCCCTAAGGACCGGGCCAGAGTGCAGCCTGCTCCTGCTCTCCTGTGATTTACCCATGCGGACCCTTCTGTCTTACTCTCTCAAGCTTCACTGAGTCTCAAAGGAGGGCCAGAGCGATAGGTCTGGTCCATTACACCACATTCAAGACTACATTGAAAAGCACTATTGAAAATGTTAAAAGCAGCATAGTACAACACTACACAAAAATTGTCACATTCTTCCCACCTCATTTATCTGGGTACACCTCTGTTTCAGCCCACTCTGTTATTCATCACCCTGAGACCCGTCTTTAGGGATCGCCCGTGTTCTTCTATGAGACCCCAAAGGAAGGCTGAACAGAAGTTACAGCACATGATTAAGGCTTGCAGGAATCCAGTTAAGCACTTTATTCCCCAAGAGCTCTGCAAATGGTGCAAAAAGTCCCATTTCTGCGCTCACTGCCCTACCTGTAAAATGTGGGTAACAGGTGCTTCCTCAATAAACAACAACCATACCCTAAAAAACTCCCTTCCCTTGCTGAAATGCTTGGCACTCAAGTGCTTTCCTGCACTATTTCACAACGCAAGGCACACG